GATTTTGCTATTTCCCACAGGTCCTTACAGATAGGTGAGTTCATTGACAGACAGTAGGTCATCGTGGGATTGCAAAGGATCTGGACCGCCCATACGCCTATACCATCAAGCCCATCGATTCTAGCCCAGATCAATCAGTTGGGCTTGTATATAAAATCCCAGCAGAAATTCAGAGTTGTCTAGGTCCAAAGGCCCAATAAGCTAGGCAACCTGACTTTTATTAAAAACCATATGAATTATCCACCTGACATGGATACTTGTTGTGCCTAAGCAATTAGATTCCAATGTAAAGGTGGATAGCACTGTAGAATCTAGTGTTAAGCTTTCTTCAAAATGATCGAAATTAATTCTTTTTTTTTTTTCGGGCGTGGGTGGGTTTGGGGTTTAAATTATCAGCTGCAAATGGATTAATGGTTTAAAGCCAAAATTTCCTTATTCCCACCAATGTTGTAGATAGGAAAGGGGAAGAGAGGAAGGAAATTGGTGGATGATTATATATAGGTATGCATGTATAAAAAATATTTATTATTATACTTATAAAAATGAAAAATGTTATATATAATATAAGTTCAATTAGGCTTCCAAAGTTTATTGGAGTTAAGCTTAGTTCAAAGCTCGATTTACATCAAAACCGAATTGAGCTTTTGATGAACCAAACTTGAATAGTTTGTGAAAAGTTGAGTTAATATCCACCCTTAATTTCAATATACAAAATGAACTGTTCAAATGGTTTTGCATTATTGATAACTGTAATGTTTTATGTGCAATTAAAAGTATAATATAGGAATTAGCAATCTTTACTATTACTTGACACCTTATAATATAGTTTGAATCATGGTTTTAAAAAATGACACGGAAATGGAATCGTTTTGGCCATTGGTTTTCAAGTCGATGATTCGGACAGACGGCCTGTTCTAATAAAAATTATAAAAAATAAAAAACGATCAAAAACCGTTGAATGGATAGACCGCCCAAGTCAACGGGTCATTGGCTGATTCAATAGTTTTTAGCCAAGGACCGTATTTGAGGTAAAACGGAACTCACAAGCCAAACGATCCAATCATCCGAATCAATAGCAATTCGAAAACCATGATTTGAATGGCCTTTCTCATTATATGAACTGTGTGAGCCCAACAAACAAACAAAAAATCAGCATTGATCCCTTATATTTGGGGGTGGGGTTAGTTAGCCTGTCTCGTTATCAAGAGAGAGTCATGTTTTCTATCAAAGTGCAAGTCCTCAGATAATTTCTTTCCACTTTGGCTACATTTTCTTACATCTCACAATTAGGCTAGCTCCAAGAATTCTTCCCCTTCCTTCTCTACTTGTTTTCTCATCAAAAAGTAAGTACTAGTCTGCCTAACAAAACGTGATATTTGTCATTTCTTCTAGTCGCACCAACTTTTGTTAGTCAGTTTGATTATTCTCCAATCACTAGACTTGCACCTTCTGGCCTTATCTACCATCTTCTTCATTTATTTTTGATAGAACGATACCTGGGATATATATAACTCAAGATAATGGATATTGGGGGTGGTTATGCTCCTTTCTCTCGGGTAGAGCTGGAAAAAATTCCTTACTGAAGTGTCTAGGAAATAAAGGGAGTGATGATGGTATTTGGTAAAGAATATCAAAATTTGCAGTGTGTTTTAAAACCTGACCCGGATGATGAACTGTTTTTCCCTCTGGGTCAATGGCTCAACCATCCGGTCCATTTGGGATGATTGTTCATTGACCAAATAATGGGTTTTTGTTACATAATAGATTAAAAGATAGCTATAACTGATGAGGTATATATAGGCGGCTGCAGATTGGACAGACCCGTGACCCGTCTCATCACAGAGACGTTTGGAAAAGTGGATTTGGCCTTGCAAATAGAGTGATTGTGAGTCCAACAATGAGTCCAAAAGCGGAAAATAAGGGACATGCATGGTCTTCTTAAGTTCTAACCCCATTCATTATAATATATGAAACTATTTGTCATGATAATATTGAACAAATCGTCTCAAGAAATTAAGATGGTTAACATCAACTTTATTCACCTAGCTATCTCCTTCCAACAACTCAAAGGTTGTTGTAATAGACAACAGTAGAAAAGACAATAATGGTAAAGGTTGGTGAGCAGGTCCAAGATGTTAGTCCTAGTGATATGACTAACACCATTAATTTTTTCAATATCCATCCCCCCTCCTTTTTTCTATTAAATCCAGAATTCTGGTTGAGGTTGAATACGTATGATGAATTTAATAATAATAGAGATGGAAACCGAGGTGCATTGAAGATTAGGATCAAAAGATTATCTCAATATAGAATCTCTCCTTGTTTAATTATTTTAATAATGAATCCATGGCAAGAGATTAATTGAAAGTGTATCACCTAGGATACAAAATTAAAGGAATGCATCCAAAGTTAGGAAACAGAGCCAAAAGAAAAGTCTTAGAAAACAACGAGACCGGTCAAGAAATATGTGCAAGAAAATTAAAAATATAATATGAGAACTTAGGAGTATTGGCTCAAATAGTTGATTATTCTATATAGTCGGGATAAGGCATGAATGATGATGATGATGAGTGGCTCAAATAAACATGTTATAAAATTAGAGTAAGAAGATTTGGTGAGCACCAATGAGAAAGTAACCAGTTACAAGTTGAAGGATCTATAACAGTCAGGGGCATGAACCAAAATTGATATGGATTGAAAACTCATGATGAGAAATTACTTGAACATTCACAGTTTAACAATGGAAAGCTTTGGACCCAACTCAGCTCGGGCGTCACTTGGCTGAAATGACTTCCTCTTGCACTGGTTTTTGGCAACTTGATTTTTTCTCCCCGAAACAACTAGGAAATGAAATTTAGAACAATGGGAGCGGAGAGAAAGAAGTCCCAAGAGCAAATTTGAATAATGTAGACATTAGAGTAAACCCCAAAATAAAAATCCAGATTTCCTCCTCATACCCATCTCACAACACTTGCAACTGTGCATTGAGAACATCTCCCAATAAATGAAAACATACAAATACGAGAAATGTTCCTGATGCGTGATTGCAACATGCTATAAGATGGGTGAGAAGGATTCTGTGAGGAGAAAATTTTATTAGAACACATCAAACAAATTATTATTAAACCCATTAATTAGATTATAGCATATAGATGGACATATGCCGGTGGAGAAAGGTATACTACTTCCTCTTGGATGAAAATTCATGTATTCACTATTCGGGCTGTAATTGGGTCAAATTTGAGCAATATTCAGCCATGTTCGAATCTGATCTGTTTATTTAAAACTTAAATCGATCTGGGCAGAATTGGAATCACATCTATATCAGTGGCTGAAATGTGGGCCACTCTTTAGGTCTACAAACTCAATATGCATGTAAGCCGTTCGTCCATCATCATAGAGCCCATGGGATTTTAGGCCCTGTTTGGTTCGTTGGAATAGGGGTCTGGAATCGGAATTGGAATGGGCTATTCTTATTCCAACTGTTTGGTTGGGCGGAATCGGAATCCCATTCTCATTCCTGTTAGAATGACCATTCTCTACCCCTCCTTTGGGAATGAAATCTCATTCCTRCTGATTTCCATTATCATTCTCATTTTTGTCTGAACCAAACRGATTATGAGAATAGACCATTCCGATTTTGATTCCGATTCCAGCTCCGGACCAAACGGATACTTAGTTTATTAGTGTTCCTTGATGCTGCTGGCAGGGCCCTCCCTTGCTGGTGATGATTTTTCTCAGTGTGTCAAAAGAAAACTGAATCTAATCTAGGGGTTTTAGATCTGATTTGGATCCTATTGAAACTTGGGTTGTAAATTGAATATATTATTTTTAAAGAAAATGTTAAAAATAAAAAAAAAATAATTATTTTTATTTAATTTTTTGAAAAGCAAGTTAATTGAGCTTGAATCTACTAATTTGTGGGTAGCAAATCAACACTCAAGTTAATTGCATTTAACTAATAATTTTAAATACTAAATTTATTAATCATAAACTCTATATAATTATTTATACATTATGTATGTATATGTGTACGTGTGTATATATATATATATATATATATATAAGGATCATTTACTAAAATACCCCTTATAATTTTATGAATTTACTAAAACCTATCCTATAGCTCATATTTTACTAAAACAGCCCCCTATAGTTTACAACCAATCGATCTTCTATTGAGAATCCTTTGTATTTCTGTCTAAAGATTGTAACATGAGTATATAAATAGGAGTGGAAAATGTTTAAGGGTGTTTTTTTTATTGTGGAAATACCCCTAAAACTTTATATCAAGCTATTAGAAAGAAATTAGGTTTGATTTTTCAGATCTATCAAAAAAATGTGTGGCTTCAACAAAATGAAGAAGAGAGAATAATGGAAGAGAGTTGTTGTTGCCCGTATTGTACTAGGGACAAGAATGACATTTTTATTTTTATTTTCTGTACAGAAAATTTAAATTTGTATGAAGGGATATTAAGGTCAAAACTGTCATTTTCCACTTCTATATATAGATATAAGGTCAGTTAAGTAAATTGGGGTGTTAAATCCACAAAACGCAAACTATAAAAGTAGGTTTTTATAAACCCACAAAACTAGTGTTAAAAGGGTGTTTTAGTAAATGGCCACGTAAATAAGTATATAATCAATGTGCATATTATAAAATTTATTCCGACCCGAATCTTAATAAGTTTCCCTTTTCATCCTTGAAATTTGATTTAAATGAAAGGTTGGCTTGATTTATTTGACAAAAAGTGTTAGACSTGGTTTTGAGAAATAAAATGGGCCCTTCAAAGTTCACACCCTTGGCCTTGGTTGTTTCCTACAGAAGTCATCTCCTCCAAATTCCTACGTGGCAATTTGATGAAGCATGAAAGTGATCCAGGTAGTTGTACTATTAGGGGCATCATCAATATGTATTTAATCCACATCGAACTCTTCAATTCATATCAACTCAACCCAAAACACCTCAACTTTGTCTAGCTCCCTCCTCGCACAAAGCCATGAAAGTGCAGACGAGAAGCTCCGAGCTTCTAAAGCCAATCTATGAGAGTAATATTCCTCCCTCAAACGCTCACTACATTCCACTCAGTGTCTTCGACAGGGCTACATACAACATGAATATAGCTGTAATCTATGTGTATCGCCCACCAACCCCACCAAATGCAACGATACAACAAGGGCTCCAGAAGGCCCTAACGGAGTACCGTGAGTTTGCCGGCCGGTTGGGTACCGGCGACAATGGCGACCCTGTCATTCTGCTCAACGATGAAGGCATAAACTTCATTGAAGTATGGGTGGAGTGCACCCTTGATGAGAAAATCCCACTTAACCCATCGGCGCTACTAAGCCTTCATCCTAGCGTGGAGGGGGTAGATGCTTTGCTGCAAGTTCAACTCACGAAGTTCGCTTGTGGGTCGTTGGTGGTGGGGCTTACATCCCACCACCAAGTTGCAGACGGCCAAGGGACGAGCAACTTCTTGGTAGCCTGGGGGCAGGCTTGCCGAGGCGTCGAGATGAGCCCACGCCCATTGCACAACCGAACCATCTTTGTTCCTCGAGAGCCCCCCTTGTTCCAGTTCGAGCACAGAGGGGTTGAGTTCACTGACACGACGCTGATCAACAACAAAGCATATCCACCTCTATCTAAAGCTTTAGTCGGAGATCTCATCATGCACAAGGCTCATCTAACACTGGAGTTTTTAGACAAGCTCAAGGCTGAAGCTTCTTCTTCTTTGGCAAACGGCGGTGGTAAGCCTTACAGCATGTTCGAAAGCTCGGTTGCTCATCTTTGGAGGACTGTAACGAAGGTTCGTGGGATTAGTGGGTTTGAGAGGACACAGATTAAGATCTCAGTGAATGGTCGAGCAAGGCTGAGGCCGCCTGTTCCCAATGAGTACTTCGGGAATTTGGTGCTCTGGGCATTGCCAAATGCTAGGGTGAAGGACCTGCTGCGCGAGCCTTTGTCCTTCGCAGCAAAGCTGATCCACGATGCAGTTGGCAAGGTGAACGACAGTTATTTCAAATCGTTCATCGACTTTGCATCAAGCCACAGGGCGGAGGAGGAGGGTCTGGTTCCAAACGCAGACGCCGATGAATTGGTTATGTGCCCCAATTTGGAGGTGCATAGTTGGCTAAGGTTTCCATTCTACGACCTGGATTTCGGTGAAGGGGGTCCTTGCCTTTTCCTGCCATCTTATTTCCCTGTAGAAGGAGAGATCTTTCTTGTCCCTTCCTTCACGGGAGATGGAAGCATTGACGTGTTTCTTTCTTTGTTCAGAGACAACTTGGCTTACTTCAAACAGTTATGCTACTGTTTACATTAGTAGACCATGATCAGTCTCGCTTATACTCTCAAGCAACTTAATACACCGCCTCTTAAAGATGTCAAAAACTAATTTTCTTCCTTAGTTAAGTTCAAAGTTCAAACAGTTATATATTCTTCTTCTTCTCTCTCTGATCATGTTTTTTTCCCTTGCCTCAAAGGCAAAGTTTGATTGAAAAGTGCTCAGAATACAAACAAAGACAACCACCACTGAAAAAACAAATACTAGATATGTACACTGCATGCAACCCAAAGACAGATTAATCTGCTGACCAAAAGAACAAAGTAAAAACTAAGCACCCTTGGATTAAAACTCGTGAGATCTCTGCAGACAGCGTTTGGGGTGTAAGATTAGGCCTAGTTAGGGACAATCCTGGCCTAACCGACCCTCTCCCCAGACCAAGGACTGGAGAGAGAGAGAGAGAGAGAGATTATGTATTATTTACGGGTCTTGGACCAGGATCAGGTTGGTTTGGGTGCAAAGGTCTTAGAATGGTCCCCTTCTCATCCCCAGGTCATATAGGAGCCCTAAAATCCCAGCCCAACGTGTAGAACAAAAGAATAAAAAAAATGCAAAAACATAGTTGGACCTGCCCAAATTGCAGCATGCATGCTTGTTATCATCATCCATATTTCTAGATATTTAAGAGAATCCAATACTTGGTAGGCTAACTAACCCTTATTGGCTGATCCTGAATCTAAGAAGTACGTAGAACATTTTTTAGAGGAGGGAAAAACAACAACAATAGTATTGAGTTGGATATTGAGTGTTCAACAACTGATCAGGTTGGGTCAGGGATGACCTCAGTTACCCCACCACTCCTACTATTGCTACCTAACCTGACCTGACTTGCAAATTGCAATACTCCTAGTATTAATTGCTTGAGTTGATCGGTAACATTGTGTTTGTTGATGGAAGTCTAATAATCAATACCAGGTTTTGGTGGTTTATTGATGTTGAAAATGGTATTTTTAAGCCAATATTCAACGAAAATAACAGAAGCTACGTTCTATTGTACGTGGATATGTATGTATTAGCCTTGTTATTCCAACATACACGATACATGCATCTTGGATATTCATGCCGATGAAGTTTCTATGAACAGTTTGATTGCCAATCCATTAGAGTTAACAATTAATGTTTTCTCTCAATGGCCAAAAGGCTGATGCTAGAGTTTTCAATTATAGAGAAGACCACATGGTTTATTATAGAATTGGAAACCATCCGGCATTACATAGATCGGGTAGTGATTTACAGAGTTGGAAACCATCCGGCATTACACAGATTGGATGGTTTATGACAATTTTGAATCTTCAATTGCAGTTGTAAATCTTCAATTGTAGTTTTGAATCACATCAATTACTTAAACAATGAAATACAAATAAAAAGAAACAACAAACAAAAAAATAAAATATGTAAAATCTCTCGAGCCAGTTAAAAAGAGTTGGAGAAACAAGAAACAAGAAAAAAATAAAGGGAATGGGACCCCAAATCGAAATTAGAAGAAGAAACCCCTTCCTGCTAACTCTGAAACTTGCGAGAAGATAAACAATCAAACAGTAATTTCAAACTCGAACTTGGAGAATGGGACCCCAAATCACTCGAACATGAACTTGGGCGGAGAATGGGATCCCAAATCGCTTGAAATCGAACTTGTATGAAAAATGGGACCCCAAACCACTCGAACCCGAACTAGGAGGGATATTGCTTTTAAGATGGAGTTTTCCCAGCCAGCCACAATTTGAACCGATTGAGTTGATGCTTCCTGGCCAGATGGAATCGATGCTTCCCAATCTGAAGTCGTTTGAATGGATGGAGTCGTTGCTTCTAGTCAACCACAGTTTGAATGGTCGGAGTCAAACTCAAACTTGGAGATGCTTCCAGCCAGCCGCAATTTAAATAGATGGAGTCGAACGAACAAAAGATGAATACTCTTTGGATTCGGTGGATTCAGTTTTTAACAAAAGGGTAATTTGTCCTAAAAACTTTATGTTTTCTCCCACTCACTCAATTTGCTATTATTTTTAAAACATAACTGAAATTGTCAATCACCAAACTTGATATTTTTTTTTTTCAAAAAGTCCTATTATGATAGTGTAATAGTGTAAAGATTGTTTGTCTTGTAATAAAAATTAATGTCTGATAGGTCTCTTGGAGGTATTAAAAATTTAAGAGAATCCCGGAAAATCGCGCATGAGGGGAGTTTCAGATAAAAAAGCCCCTTAGAGGTATTGAAATTGAAACTACAACTTACATTATTATATGATATAGTTGATAGAGAGATAAGCAAGTAGTTGTTAACAAGGGGGTCAATACTAGAACTGAAAATGAGTGTGGGAGGCAGCAAGTTGACAGCGTTATAATTTCAACTTTGGTGAGCAAACGAATCTTTCACATCCTGTCTAAATCGAAACCAAACCCAATTCCACCAAGTCAACTGATTAGGTTGCTTGACCTACTCAGTGATTCCTCAAATCTTTTTTAATYTCTTGTGCAAAATTTCCTACTTAATTATTCTTGTGTTTGGTTGCAATGCAATTTAATTTTATTTGTATTAGTAAAAATGTATGAAAATGCAAATGAAAAAATGTAAATTCTTGTTTAATTTTGTTTTAGGTTTTACTTTAATTATTCTGTTTCATGTCTTAATTTACTTCATTTGCATTAGAATCAAATAAAATAATYTAAAATTTGAAACAAAAAATAAGTTGGGATTTACGTTTAAATCATTTGCATTGTTATAATTTTGCATCAGTACAAATTTATTTGTATTGCAATCAAACACAGCCTAAGAAACAAATCTGAAAACGGGATGACGGAGGATGAAGAAGAGTCACCAGTCACCACCAACCGCAGAAATCCAGAAACCAAAAACAACAAAGACGTCATAAAATGTGTGTGAACTTGGGACTGGACTAACACAATAAGCGGTGCAAATGTGATATGTATATATACAAGGGTTCTGTTTTGAAATTTGAGCACTTTTTAGCTCTTGGAGTGCCTTTGTTATCAGTGGTGTTAGGTCTTAGCCTCTTAGTCCGTTTGGTTTATGGCAATAGAGGTCCGTAATTACAGAATGCCCTATTTCATTTCTAGTTGTTTGGTTGGGCAGAATGGGATTCCGATTCCCATTTCTGGCAAAATGGCATTTCCCCACATTTGAGGGAATATCCATTCTGACCTCCCCATTGTCATTGGGATGAGAATCTCAGGGTCCATTTGTAGAGGTGTAAAACAGGCCGTGTCGTGGGCAGCCCGTACAAAGTGTGGGCCGTGTTGTGCCAGCCCGTGGGCCGTCTTGGGCTATACCGCCCCCTAGGGATAACTTGGGGGTCGGCCCATGCATCGGGCCAAAGTTATTTATTTAAAAAAAAATTGACAAAAAAACTTAAAATTTTAATTTTATATGAACTTTGGTGTATAAAATTGCTTATATATACAATAATTAAATAAATTAATATAATAAAATTTTTAAAATTATTTATTTTATTAAAATATTATATACTATATATTATTATATAATTATAATTTATATAATATTATATAAATGTATATAAAATATATATGGGCCATGTCGGCCCAGCTCATGGACCTAAAACCCAGGCCTAGCTAGCACGGCCTGCACGATCGTGTCAGGCCTGGCATGGCCTGTGGACCGTCGTGTCGGGCCATAGGTGGCCCGACCTGATTTACACTATCCATCTGGTTCACAATTGAAATTGAAATCAAAATCATTCAGACTCTGAAATGGAATAGTCTATTCCCATATCTGTTTGGTTCAGACAGGAATGAGATTGATTTCATTCTCAAAGGAGAGGCAGGGAATGGCCATTTCCTCAAATGGGGGAATGCCATGGAAATGGAATCTCGATTCTGCCCAACCAAACAGTTGGAATTGGAATAGCCCATTCCAATTCCGATTCCAGAGCCCTATTCCTACAAATCAAACAGTGTCTCATTCTAGTTTACCCAACCCCAATCCTCATTGGGAATTGGGAATGATGCATATCTTATGAAATCCAATTCGATCCGATTCCCATCTGAACCAAACAGGTGGAAGAATAGATGATTTCGATTTCGATTTCGATTTCGATTTTGATTCCGATTTCAATTCCAACCGCAAATCAAACAGACGCTTAATAGAGATGATGCTGGCATGGACTACCCTTGAAAAACAGTTTTAATGCCTACTAGAAATACTACGTCAAACATTCTCCATCCAAGAAGCTTCTATTTTGAAGCTGCCAAAAACGCCATGACAGCCAAATACTACGTCAGGCTCACTCTTTTCAGTGTTTCAACAGTCTCTCTCTGGATCTGTCTCTCAAAAAAGAAAGAAAATTGCTAAAATGCAATAGAGCTATATATATCCTCTTTGTGAGGTTGTTTGCCGGGGCAACTTCGGATGGTGTAGAGAATAGGAGCTGCCGCTCTGCCGGCCAGATTAGACCTCGGACTACTCAGAATACGTGTGGAGCTGGAGCAGCTCTTTAACTGGGACCCATGTAAGAATAATGAGTCCTCTACCTTGACTTTCCTGTATCATTCAATCTATTTGAAGAGACTATAGCTAGAGAGAGTGATAACAGTGAAGAAGAGTCGAAGAAAATGCCTCCTTCTTCTGCATAAAACCATCAACTGTTAGACTTGTGAAACGTGAATTAATTCTTGACTTCGACCTGGCTACCATCCCAGGCAGATGGTTTGGGTTAGAAACGGGTTCTAATTAGTCCTAACCAACTCATGTCTGGGATTGATCTCACACGGTTCCATTGACCTCATGACCATTGGTTCTACTAGTCAGTGAGAACGTAGTTGACCATAGACGTGAGTCAAGGCTCAGCTCCATTTTTTCACTTGTTAATCGAGCCAAGCCGATACTTGGCCCTGGCCCGGTCACTTGGCTCAAAACGTACCCTAGGTTTTAGGTTTTACCACATCGGGTCAGTTGGGCTGAGTTGCATCCATCCATATTCCTAGGCAAGAGCATTGCTCAGTTT